GCCGCCCACGAAGTCCTGGAGCTGCCGCGCGTCGTCGTGCGGCCCCGCGCCGCCCGCCAGCTCCACGGCCAGGCTGAGGCAGCCCACGAGCGCGATGGCCGGGGCGCCCCGCACCTGGGATGGGGACATGGGGGACACTGGGGACACCGGGGACACTGGGGACACGGGGGACACGGCCCCACGCCGCCCGCCAGCTCCACGGCCAGGCTGAGCCAGCCCGTGGGGCGATGCCTGCGGTGCCCCACACCTGGGATGGGGACACGGGGGACACCGGGGACACGGGGGACACGGCCCCACGCCACCCGCCAGCTCCACGGCCGGGCTCAGGCAGCCCGTGGGGCGATGCCTGCGGTGCCCCACACCTTGGATGGGGACAAGGGGGACACTGGGGACACGGGGGACACCGGGGACACGGCCCCGCGCCGCCCGCCAGCTCCACGGCCGGGCTGAGGCAGCCCACGAGCGCGATGGCCGGGGCGCCCCGCACCTGGGAGTGGGACACGGGGGACACTGGGGACACGGGGGGACACGGGGGACACGTGTCATCATGCGGCCCCGCGCCGCCCGCCAGCTCCACGGCCGGGCTCAGGCAGCCCGTGGGGCGATGCCTGGCGTGCCCCACACCTGGCATGGGGACACGGGGGACACCAGGGACACCAGGGACACCGGGGACACGGCCCCGCGCCGCCCGCCAGCTCCACGGCCGGGCTCAGGCAGCCCGTGGGGCGATGCCTGGCGTGCCCCACACCTGGCACAGGTGACACGGGCGCAGTGGGTGCCGCGGTGCCGCGGCGGGCGCTCACCTCCATGGCGCGGATGGCCTCCCAGGCGCGCTCCACGCTGCCCACGGCCTCGTAGCGCAGCTCCGCGGGCAGCAGCCGCTGGTTGAGCACGGCGAGCGAGCCGCGCCGGTAGCGGATTGCCTCCAGGCTCATGGTGCCGCCGCGGCGGAAGCGGCTCCGGCGCTTCCTGCGGCCCGAGGGGAGGGCCCAGGCGTCCGGGCGGCGCGGAGGCGGCGCCAGCTTCCCGCGCCGCACACAAGCACTCGGCCCTTCCCGGGTGCTGCAGAGTCCCTTTAATCCGTGCGGTGGGAAGGGGATGGGGGGGATATAAATTACCGGGATAGGGGCGGACCGAAACAGCGAGGTCAGCAGCCGGGACCAGCCCGGAGCGACGGGAAGTGGAGGGAGGGGGACGTGGGGACCGGCCCCGCTCAGGCGCTTTCCGAGTCCGAGTCCGAGTAGTCGGMGACGAGGGAGGTGTTGGGGCCAGCGGGGGCCCCCGCGGAGCCGTCCTGGGGGGTCCCCACAGAGCCATCCCGGGGGGGTCCCGCGGAGCCGTCCCGGGGGGGTCCCGCCAAGCCGTTCTGGGGGGTCCCCACGGAGCCGTCCTCGGGGGGTCCCGCGGAGACATCCCGGGAGGGCCCTGCAGCTTCCTCAGGCTCCGGGCGGCYGCTTCCCGGTGCCGCCTCCGCTCCCTGCGGATCCGCGGGCGGCTCGGAGCGTCTCCGGACGATGCCCAGGCAGGCGGGGGGGC